CCAAGGGCTCCCAGCACACAAAAGCCCTGGCCGGGATGGCTTCACAGGGGAGTTTTACCAAACATTCAAACAAGAATTAACGCCTATCCTCCTCAGACTATTTCAAAAAATCCAAGAAGGAGGAACACTTCCAAACTCTTTTTATGAGGCCAGCATTAGCCTAATTCCAAAGCCAGATAAAGATACTACAAAGAAAGAGAATTATAGGCCAATATCCCTGATAAACATAGACGCTAAAATCCTCAACAAAATATTAGTAAATCGGATCCAGCAATATATTAAAAAGATCATACACCATGACCAAGTGAGATTTATTCCAGGGATGCAAGGCTGGTACAATATTCCCAAATCAATAAACATGATACATCACGTAAACAAATTGAAAGATAAAAATCACATGATCTTATCAATAGATGCAGAAAAAGCATTCAAGAAAATCCAACACCCATTTTTGATAAAAACTCTCAGCAAAGTGGGAATAGAGGGATCATACCTCAACATAATAAAGGCCATATATGACAAACCTACAGCCAACATCATACTCAATGGGCAAAAACTAAAACCATTTCCCCTAAGAACAGGAACAAGACAGGGGTGTCCACTTTCACCACTCTTACTCTGTGGAAGTCCTAGCCACAGCGATTAGACAAGAAGAAAACATAAAAGACATCCAAATTGGAAAGAAGGAAACAAATCTGTCATTATTTGCAAATGACATGATATTGTACATACAGAATCGTAAAGACTCCACCAGAAAACTACTAGATTTAATAAATGAATTCAACAAGGTAGCAGGATATAAAATTAATACCGAGAAATCGATGGCATTTTTATACACCAATAATGAACTTTCAGAGACAGAAACTACAAAAAAAAATCCCATTTACCACTGCAATTAAAAAAATAAGATACCTAGGAATAAACTTAACCAAAGATGTAAAAGACCTTTACTCAGAAAACTATAGGACACTGAAAAAAGATAGAGAAAGATATAAACAAATGGAAAAATATACCATGCTCATGGATTGGAAGAATTAACATCATTAAAATGTCCATAATCTTGAGAAAGAAGAACAAAGTTGGAGGAATCACAACACCAGATATCAAGTTATAGCACAAAGCCACTGTAATCAAAACGGCCTGGTACTGGCACAAGAACAGACATATTGATCAGTGGAACAGAACAGAGAACCCAGAAATTGACCCATGCCATTATGG